ATGATGGCCAAGAAAGGGGTGGCTGCGCTAGCGGTATATCGACGTCGCCTTAGGCAGCTTCCTGCCCTTGACCTACAAACACGCTTCCACTTGTATGATGCCATGGTAGCTCCCATCTAGCTGTACGGTAGTGAGCTATGGGCGGGCACTAACTGTGATGCTCTTGAGCGTCTCCATCGGCACTACTTGCTGTCCTGTATGGGGGTCACCCGTCGTGTCTCTACTGAGGCCTTGCTGTGTGAGCTTGGTCGTATTTCGGTGCTCTTCGAGGCGCGTTGTCGCCAGCTGTCCTTCTATGTCCGCCTGCGCAATCGCAGAGCTGGCATCCTTGCAGAGAAGGCTTTTGCTGTTGCACAGCATGCTTATCGGTCTGCTCCGTCATTCCGGCGCATGCAGGGCAACGACGCTTACTTCTACACGCAAAAGCACAACACATTCACTCTATTTGCACGCACATTCGATTTCATGGGCCAGCGCGTCCGTATTAGTCAGATTGGCCCACTGAGTGCTATCGATATAAAACACATGATCATGGCGCACACAAAGGCAGAGTTTGCTCGTCTTTTGACCGACCGATGGAATCGTGCTCATTTGCCTGATATGCGTAAGGCTCCCTCCCTTCCTCCGCCCCTCTCTCAGCCGAGGCGATATCCTTACTGCCTTGGCGCACGTATGCGTGTGGCCAGACAGCTGTCTCTCGTAGAGCTCTGTTTCAGGCACGCAAAGAGCTGTTTGTGCCGTCTTCTTTGTTCAATCATTCTTTTTCTGTAGCATTTCCTCGCCTACATCGTTCCTTTCCATCTCCCTTACGTGACTGCCTCTGTGACATGGATTCGATTGTGTGTATGGCGCCATATGTCCCTGCTGCTGCGCATATGCATGTGCTCCAGCAAGGGCAAGATTGGCTCCATCGCATCATTCAGCCATTGCCGTGCTTTCCTCCTTACCTGTCGCTGCCGTTTCGTAAGCGTCGTGCTCTGTTTCTTTTTCGGGTGGGCTGCTACCCTTCTGCCATCATGGATGGACGCATCCTCGGCCGGCCGAGAGAGGGCAGCGTATGCCCGTTTTGCTCGCACAGAACTGACTTGCTCGTATCTGCCGTGAGCCTTACTGGGCAATCAATCACCCGCCCTCCCATTGAGGATGAGTCTCATGTGTTGGCATGTTGTCCACTGTATCGTTCTCTTCGTGACACGCTCCACCGTGTTATCGGCCAGCATGGCGTGACTGCCCCTGATGCCTGTAGTTATCGTCGGTGGCGCAGGTCACATCCAATTGTTTTCACTTGTTGTGTGCTGCAATCGGACAAACTGCCGGTGCTCTCTGCAGCGGCAGACTTTCTTCTGTCAGCACAGGCAACACGCACTGAGTGGCTTGCACTTAATCCGTTCTCGCCAGACAGTCAGACAGAGGCAGACGACGACTTGACATATGAACAGCATGTACTCGATCAATGGGCGCTCGACGTCGAGCTCTCTGAGTAGCCTCTGTCCGTCATGCATATGTCTGGCTGTCTTCTCGTATAGGTAGCCTCTGCCCGTCATGCATATGTCTGGCTGTCTTCTCGTATATGTGCAGCCGGTGTCCACAGCGATTTTTCTGACCATCATAGGGTGGCACGTGCATGTCGAGCGGTTGGGTGGGATGGGGAGATAGGCCGTGTGCATGCTTCTATGCATGTGCATGCTGCTAGTTTAGTGCGTGATATGGACAGGATCCCCTCCGGGGTTACAGACACGAGTCTCGTTAAACACAATAACCAACCAACCAACCTCCCCGGACCCCAGCTGTGGAGCACAGGCATGTATAGATTTTCCCGCAGCGTCTAACCCGAGAGGCCGCCGGGTAGGTGAGGGTTCTCTGGCTGGTGGGCTGGTGGCGAGCTGTCAAGTTAGCCGAGTATGTATAGATCACAGGGAAGATGAATGGCTTGACGTCGTTGGCAATGGACACGGATGTGACGGATGACACGAATCAGTTGATCTTGCCGTCGTCGAGGGAGGCGCGTCGGCAGATCCACCGAGCCAAGCATCCCAAGAACAACAGGCAGGACGATGAGCCAAAGCCAGAGGAGAAGAAAATGAGCAAGAGGAAGAGAAGAAAGATCGAACAGTCAAGGTAAGAATGAACAAGTAGATGTCATGCATGTCCATGTGTCTGTCTGTGTAATTGTGTGTGTGTGTGTGTGTCAATCAGCGCAAGCACGAAGCGGCAGAGAAGAGTGAGGCGGTGTTCGAGGAGCTCAGGAAATACGCACTCAAACCTGGTCAGCCAGTCAGACAACCACATCCCACTATGGATGTTCATTCCTCCCCTTTGCTGCTGCTGCGTGTGTCAATCAGAGCATCTATCGTTGCTTCAGCCGACGGCGTTGACGCACCAAGAGGCGGAAAGTGGAGCTCGTCAAACGACAGCACGAAGCCGGTCAGATACTATAGACAATCGCCTGTCTGTCTGTCTGATTGAATACATGTGCACGTATGTGTAGGTTTGGACATTTCTCGGAGCATTGCGGATGAGGTAGACAAGAAGCGAAAGAGGTCAGCTGAGAAAGGAGGGGAAAGCGGTCCCATGGGAGATGTGTGCTGTCCGTCCACACAGGAAGGAGAAGCGGATGCAGCAGCGAATGGCCGAGGTGAGTGACTTTGCCCGGACACGTGCCACATGCGCACGTGCGCATCTTTGTGTGTCTGTGTGAATGTGTGATTGGTTGTAGGATGCCCTCTCTCCCTCCCCACCCCCTCCAACCACCCGACCCAAGAAACCCCAACACAATACCGCTGACCAACAGCAGACGACAACAGCGACCCCGAGCACCACAAACCCGCCGTCAAGAGCGAGCCGCCACCAACCCCCTTCCCTCCCCCTCTCCCTGCCCCCCAGCAGCAGAAGCAGCCGTCCCGCAGTGTCTGGTGGGCGGGCGCCACTCGTCACGTGCTGCTGCACCGACCGCCGCACATCGATGAGCAGCGTCTGCGGCTGCCTGCGTGTATGATGGAGCGTGAGATCGTCGAGGCCGTGAGGGAGCACGACGTGGTCATCGTGTCGGGCGACACGGGGTGCGGCAAGTCCACACAGGTGCCTCAGTTCCTTTATGAGGCGGGGCTGTGTGGTCCAGGTGGTACTGATGGTGATGGTGGGTACATGATAGGGATCACTCAGCCGCGTCGCGTGGCGGCGATATCGATCTGCCGGCGGGTGGGAGAGGAGATGAACATGAGAGAAGCCGTGGGCTACCAGGTGGGTGGGTGGGTGGGTGGGTGGTCGTTCACAAAGGCTCTGTGTGTGCATATGTACGTGTGTGTGTGTGTCGTGCAGGTGCGTTATGACCGGTCTCACTGCGGTCCTTCTTGTCGTCCCAAATTCATGACGGACGGCATTCTGCTCAAGGAGATACAAAACGACTTCCTGTGCAAGTAAGTATGGGTGTGAACATGGGGAGGGTCTCCGCAACGTGTACCTGCGTGCGCGTGTGTGTGTTTTTGTAGGCGGTACAGTGCGATAGTGCTGGAAAAGGCGCATAAGCGGTCCGTCAACTGCGATATCCTCATCGGTACGTACACTCACACCGAGACATCCATGCACGTGCTCACACCACACGCTGCACTTTTTTGCGTACCATGTTGTGTGGGTAGGTTTGCTGTCCCGAACTCTTCGTCTGCGTCGCGAGATGGCCGACAAGCCTGACGCTACGCTCCCGCCACTCAAGTAAGTCAGGCAATGAATGGCCGAATGCCGACTAACACACAGCACCCGCATTGACCTGTGTGTTTGTGTGTGATGGTGTGTACAGGCTGGTGATAATGTCAGCGACGCTGCGCCTGTGTGACTTCACCGACAACAAGCGTCTGTTCCCCACACCCCCACCCGTCATTTCCATCGACGCCAAGGCACATCCCGTCACCGTGAGGACCATACAGATACAGACACGAGCATGGGCGTGGGTGCATGCTGTGTGTGTATGTGTGGGTGTCGATTGATAATTCAGGTGCATTTCGACCGCGTGACGCACACCGATTACGTCAAGAGCGCCGTCAAGAAAGTCAGAGAGATACACAGGTATTCGTTCACGGAAACCACAACACAACACACGATACATGTATGTATCCTCACGTGTAGGAAGCTCCCATCGGGCAGCGTGTTGGTCTTCGCCACCGGTCAGCGGGAGGTGCACCGCATCGCAAACATGCTCCGCAACACAACACCCCCATCACGCCGCCCCGACTACGACCAGCAGCGCCAGCCACCCACCACAGACCCAAGGCGATGGGCAAAACGAAGACACATTCCGTCTAGAGGGGGAAGAGTCCGAAGAGTCGTCAGATCAAGACTCAGGCACCAGCAGTGACCATGACCAGGATGACATCCATGCAGATGCAGACCATCCCCACCCACCACAGCCACCGCAGCAACCGGACACCATCCATCTGGACACCTACCGGCTGTCAGACGAGGAGCATCCCCTCAAGACCGTCAAGACCATGCACGACGGCCCGCAGACCACCGACTTCGACCAAAAGGACACCACCAGCCGACGCGCACGGCAGACCGGCGGAGCGCGGTGGCTGGGGTGTGACGGGGAGGGGCGGATGGAGGTCATTCTGCTGTATGCATCAATGAGCGCCGAACACCAGGTCGGTGCATGGAGGGCCGACATGACGAGAAAGGCGCATCGGTGTTGTGTTGTATTGTGTTAGTTGTGTGTGTGGGTGTCAGATCCGGGCGTTTCGTGATCCGCCTGCGGACAAGCGTGTGGTGGTGGTGGCCACGAATGTGGCTGAGACGTCAGTGACACTGCCTAACATCCGGTGGGTATGCTCCGCTTTGTGGGTGTGTACATGTGTGTGTATATGGTGTGTGCGAATGTGTACACACACACAGGTATGTGGTAGATTGCGGCAAGGAGAAGCGCCGGAGGTACCTGCAGTCGATGGGCGTGTCCTTCTTCTCTGTCCAGTGGGTCTCGAAGGCCAGTGCCGACCAGAGGGCTGGAAGAGCAGATACACATACACACATGGCCACACACATGGCCACGCCATCCGTGCGCATCACTGTGTCCTGTTTGTGTGGATGTGATGTAGGTCGTGATGGTCCGGGTCACTGCTATCGTTTGTATTCGTCTGCCGTGTATGAGAATCACTTCACGCAGTACCCGCCCGTCGACATACTCGCCGCACCTGTCGACAGTGTGCTCCTCTTCATGGCATCACTCGGCACACACACACACACACACACACGCACACAGAGAGAGAGATAGAGAGAGATAGATGCACACATGGGCATGCACGTGTCTGTGTTGTCAATTCAGGCATCCCACATCTCTCATCTTCCCCCTTCCCCACCCCGCCCAGACCGTCGGCCACCAACGCGGCCAAGGAGCGGCTCATCATGCTCTCTGCCATCACACAAGGCTCAAGCACCACAGGAAAAGGCAGAAACAACAAGGAGAAGGAGGGTGGTGTGCGCTGCACCAGGATGGGCGAGCGCATGGCCAGCCTCCCCATCGCGATACGCCAAGATGATGCTCACGGCAGTGCAGAAGTGAGCCAGCAACCAACCAATGGAGAAAAGAGGCGAGAAAAGGAGAGAGATTAGTTACTGCTGCTCTTTTCTCCCTTTGTGTGTGCAGGTCTCAGTCGTTGTCAGTGCCGGTGATTGACCATGCCTGCATGCTAGTGGCGGCTCTGTCTGTGGGCAATGTGTTCCGACCAGACCGCATTTGAGAGGCGCCACCACACTGCCCCTGACGGCAGCAGCGGCAAGAGGAAGAGGGAGAGCGCCCATGGCCAGGAGCAGGAGGGCGGCCTTGAGATGATGGATATGGACATTGAAGAGGTGTGCTTGACACCACACACCCACGAAGAGGGGGAGAACATACACCCACGTCACACAATGGTGGGTGTTGGTATGTATGTGTGTAGGGTGAGGAGGAGCCACCATTATTGCCGTCGAAGCGTGCAGATGGTGGTGGTGGTGGTGTCAGCGTCAATGTGCCCCACTGGCGCACGCTGCCGTCCGACATCGATGCGCTCATATGGGTCACTGGCGCATACGCACACGCACACGACAAGTCAGCAACACGTGCACGCGCACAGACAGAGGGAGAGGGAGAGCAATAGATGCATGCCTCTGTGTGTGTGTGTGTGTGTGTGTGTGCACGCATGCGTATAAAAGGGAGTCGTTTTGTGCCAGTCATATGGTCAAGGAGCGTGCGATGAAAGAGGTGTACTCGCTGGCACAGCAGCTGGCCAGAATCATCAAAGATAAATGCAAGTACGTGAGTGGGCTGGGAAGGGAGGGAGGGAAAGAGTGCAAACGACGGGATTTATGAGTGTCAATGCGCACACAGGGATGTGGAAATAGATCTGCCGATCGCCCCACTGCCGCCAAACAAAGAGCAGGTGACATGCACACAACCGCAACACAACCACAACACACCACAACACATTTTTTGTGACCTGTGTCAACATCGGGCGCTTTGTCTGCACGACTGTGTACTGGAGGGCCTGTCGACCACATCGCCCTGCGCGTCGACAGCGTCACCAGTGTGGGAAAGAGGAGCTACTACAGGTAGCTAGCTACCCATACACACGCATTGGTGCACCCGTGTCTGTGGATGGATGTGTGTATAGGTGTGCTGAGCTTTCCCGGCTGAGTGATGACGGCAGCGGTGGTGGTGGCGACGATGTGGCGGTGTCGCAGCGCGCGTACATTCACGTCAACTCAAACCTATACCACACCAGGTGGGTGACACAGGCACAATGGACATCCGCAAGCGTGCTGAAACGTTCTCTGTCTCTGTGCGTGTGCCGACATGTGTATGTGTATATATGGTGTGTTTAGGCCACGCCCTTCTCTGATAGCATACAATCAGATCATTTCCTCGAACTGCCAACACTTCATCAGGTGCCGCACACACACCATTCGCATCCATCCATCAGTCCACCCATGTCTGTCTGTCTGTCTGTCTGCAGGGAGTGTCTAGCTATCGACCCGCTGGCGCTTGCTCGCATCGACTCGCCCGCTATCGACAAGACCAACATTCTCAAAATGCCTAAACAAAAGTCAGCACACACACACACACACACAGGGAGACCAAGGACGCACCACTGTCTGTGTGTGTCTGTTCGTGTGTGCAGGTATCTGCCCTCTAGCGACCGGATAGTGTGTTTGTGATCCCCGTGTACACCTTGCTGGACCATTGGCTGGTGGAGGGCATGGAGACCGACATGGCCGCGACGCACACACAATCCGACCTCAGATACCAGGTGAGAGTGAGACAGACCGTCACACACACACAAGACTTCCCTCCCCCAAATCTCTCTCTCTCTCTCTCTCTGCGTCTTGGTGCAGGTGTTTGCAGCTGCCTTGCTCGAAGGCCTTGTGGTAACGTCAATGCGGAAGTGGACCCCGTTCCTGGTCAGCAGCAGCAAAGGGGGAGGGAAGGACCGTGCCTCCCCCCATCAGCACCCCCAGCAGCAGCTGGTAAGGGCTCTGCAGGCGGCCAACGTGAGCAGCCGGTCCGCTTTGGTGTCGATGTGGTCGAGTGCGCCGCACTTCCTCATAAGCGAGTATGTGTCGTGTGTGCGGCCGGGTGAGCGGGGCAAGGTGGAGAGGGAGTGGCCGCCGGTGAGGGGCAAGGGGAGTGGGAGGAAGGGGAAGTGAATGACGAGAGATGGATGATATGTGGGTGGGTGGGAATGAGTGGTGTACGTGTGCGAGTGTCCGCTCAACCATTGGCTTGACATCGGTGTACATCACATGGATGCATTATCAAGCCATAAATGGGCTGGCTGGTCTATGTATGTACAGACTGAGTACGCGCATTCCGAATGAATGAATTGTCACACATGAGGTTGCAGAGCGTCATCCTTCGGTGGGCTGCATGGTGTTTCTGGGCAGGTTTGGCGGCGACTCTCAGAGCGGTCAATCGGGATCCCTGATGGCTCACTTCTCTCTCGAGCAGGCCATCAGGGTAAGCAGAAAGACATCGAATCAAACGGCCCTGACCACTCAATTTCTTGTCTTTTTCCTGTAGGGAGGAATCAATGATGCGGGCATGCCTGATGGCTTTCGCTTTGACTTGCTCTCATTCGATGCGTGCCTGATGAGCTCATACGAGGTCATCTCCGCACTGTCCTCACATGGGCACTGCTTCCTCGGTAACAGACGACACGCACAGGAGCGAAGCCGCTCTGCTTCTTTACGTATCGTGCGTCTTTCGTTGTGCTGCCGTGTAGGCAGCGAGACCCTCGTTAGCGGCGCTGGTTGGGATTGGCGTTCTCTGAGACCAACAACACGTGACGGCAAGCCGACCACGCCTTTGGACTACGCCGAGAGCATCGCTCGTGCAACAGTGGACAACCACATGGGGCAGCAAGGTGTGATGAACCTCGCTATCGTGGACCTCCACAAACAACGCGAGTTCCGCAAGGCGTTTGCCGCCAGCCAAAGGAGTCTCGCCGAGCGACTCAACACGTGCGTTGAGACATACGAGGTCGACCGCATTCGCACGGCCTACCAGAAGGCTGACGACAGCCTGCGCGCTCACAAAGAATCGCTATTCCGTCAAGTCCTCGCAAATCCAGTGGACATGGGCCATCTGCTGCATCACTTGGAGGCTGAGGTGGAGCGCTTGATGCCTCTGGAGGAGCTGGATACCTTGAGAGAGGCTTATCGGCTGTACAACGAGAGCATCGTCTACTTCAATGGATCAGACAGCGCTCTACTCACTGGTCACACACACAGGCGACACACCGACAGTGATTGAGGAAAAATGTCGCTGTGTATGGCTGCTGTCACTGCTAGGAGTGCATGTCGACCTGCTTCATGAGCGAAAGCCTCATCGGTTGCTGCAGATCGCACATGTTGACGATGTTATAGGGCTTGACGAAGCCGATATACCCTGGAGCAGAAATCGTAAGGAGCCCCACACGGATCAGAAGCACTGGAAATTGGAGGTGTGAGCGTTGTTTCTGCAGACTCATGATAGGTATTGGCAATGGTCTGGGACGCCGGCGGATTTAAACGCCTTTGTAGAACCCATTTATGACGCCAAACGTGGACCGTGTCGCGGCTGGGGGGCCTTCATGGGACAAGACGCTGCTCTTGGCATCATGAATTTCACCCTCTATCCCATGAGCAACGCCAGCCCAGCACAGGGTGGCAATGCGTCGGCGGCTCGCTACAGGGTGGAAGTCTTCAGGAACACGTCCAGTGGAGTGGCGACGTACACGGTAGGCAAGAAGAAAAGATAGACAGCTACCGACCAGACGCGTGTAATGCTGCTGCCGTTCAGGCTCGAAACGCGATTATGATTAATGCATCCTCGGCTCTTGTCGTCACTACGGAAGAGGCGCCACATAGGGAGGAGATGAAAGGCGAAGAGGACGGTCACTTTATCGATCGCGTGACGGCTGAGTGGGCCACTGAGGCGTTTATCTTGTATCAAGACACCTGGGGGCTCGTCGAAGACCAAACAACGCGATCCAACTGCAGCATCCCTTCTTGGATCATAGAGTGTCCTGATGGGTTCGATGATACTGTGCCTGTACGACAGCCCATCGATCCCATCGATGGAGGCAGCAACAGCATGCTCAACCGTCGTTGCCGTTGGTCGAGCGCTATTACATCTTCCGACGGCAATGCTTCTGCTCTGAGAAAGTTGCAAATACCCGCACACTTCTATCGCACATTCGACGACTTCAACAATAACGTGGAGGCTCATTCAGCTGTGCTTGTCATCGCCCATAATATCAGCAGCCCGCATGACAGCCATTTCTCGCTGTTTGCCGCCGATAGCGTTGGTGGTGTGTCAGAATTGTCGCCGGAAGAGTGGGGGCTGCTTGAGCCACTGCATTCATACGTGAACCTTACTACGGCGAATGGATTGGGGAGCTATCGCATGGCTGAAGACGGGCTGAAGCGGGATCTCTCATCGTGTACCGTCTTTGTGTAAGGAGACTAAACAAATGGAACAATGCATGAGGCAAGAGGGGACATCGTCAACGATCGTGTGGGCTTGTAGGTGGGGCTACAATGTTACCATGGCGGAGTTCGAAGCCCATGCAATTGAGGTGCTGCAGTGGCCGACAAGTGGCACAAACGCTGCTCAACGAGACCTTGGCCCACTTGGTAAGGTTTCTGTATGTACATGCAATTGTCCACAGTGGATGTCTTCTTTTTTCTCTGCATTTTCCTTGCATCTGCAGACCGCGTGATGGGCATCAGAGCACAAAACATTGCAAACGATTCACAAGTGGCTTCATTCGTGGCCCTTTCAGAGGACAACACTGTCGTCGACACCAGCTAGCTGTGTAGATATGGTGGGTTGTATGTGTAGCCTTGGGTTCTCTACATGACATTCTTGGCAAGTTCGCGGTTGTCGGTTTTTTTTTGCACCGCTGTTCTTCGCCAGAAAGTGGTAGTCGCTTTTTCCCCTTTTTCGGCCCTGTGGTCCGCATTGTGCGGCTACATTTAGACTATGCGCGTAGTACGTAGCAACAACCACTCAGTGTACACATGTGTGCTCATGCAGTTGATTTATGGTACATGTGTACATGTCACGTGGTGCGACGGGTTTGTTTCTGCTTTCCTAAGCCTCACAACTACAAATCTGCACACCGCACACCCGAATTTACAAAAACCGTTGGCGCCATACAGTGTGGCTTTCGCCGCACTATATCCGTCCACCCTGAGCAATCGCCTCTATGCGCGCGGAGATCCCCAGTGCGGTGTGCCACACACACGGCGGCTTCCGAATGCGGCCATGCATGCCCACGCGAAGCAGATTTGCTTTTCGTTCCGGATCATGCTCATGGCGCTTCTCTCGGGAACAACAGCCCTGCTGCTGCTCCAAATGTTGAGGCGGAGGACTTGGAACGGCCTCAGACAGGCTGCCGCAGCTGGAGGAGATCACGACTTCTCTGCATTGAGGACGGTGACATTGGATCAGTGGTTCCCCGATTATACTGGGCCCGGCCGATGTAGGTTCGCATCCCACATAAGAAGGAAAGGCTCACCCGGTGGGTCCAGTACGCTGACTTTGAGGATGAACGACACTGCGATACAAGACCTCCAGGTGTGGTACAAGAGCAAATCAGAAGCAGCGCAGAACGGCACTCTGTGTCCGCCGTGCAGGAGTCTGTAAGCGTGGCTGTGCGGATGGGACCGTTCCGTGCGTTCCGTGCGTTGCGTTCTCTCGTTCCGCGTCTTGAAGACTGCAGCTTCGTCCGAGAGATTGTCCTCGATACATGGACTCCCCCTGGGAAATCTCTGGAGGCCTTTCGCAATGAGCTGCACAACCATCTCACGAAATTCAACACGACCAAGGCGCGCATCTTGCCGGGAGACAGAGGGCTGGGGGAGAGGTACTTTGTTGCTGAGCACATCCAGACCCCCTTCACACTCGTGCTGGACGACGACAAGTTCCTGCATTGCGGTAGGCACCGTCACCACAGAATGATCCATCCAACGCTGCATTGTTCTCACGCTGCTGCCTTCATTCATGCAGCCGAGATCCCCAAGCTCCTTTTGGCAGCTCAGCGCTTCCCTCAGCGAATCATCGGCCCTCTGAAGGTGCGGCGATCGATTCATAAATGTGTCATCGGCTCAGACACGTTGCTGTATCCCACAGAGAGGCAAGAGGACAACATGGCTTTGACAAGTGCTGCTCTTGTGCCTACGTCACTGATGGATGCGTACAGGAGACTCATACCTAGGCAAGACGCTCGAGTAGCGCTCGAGCAATGTACATCAAGTCATGACGGTGCATTTGTGTGCAGGCCTGTCATCGACTTCATCAACGGAGAACTCAATTGCGAAGACGTATGCTTCAATTGGGTCGCGGCGCACCTGAATGGTGACGAAGAGGAGGCATGTAAGCCAACATGACGAACCATCCAGCCAGCCATCCATCCATCCAACGTGTCTGCCTGACGGCTGCATAATGTCTCTCTGTGTACAGGTGTGATTGTCGAGGACGTCGAGGTCAAAGAAGGGCCGCAGGGAAATGATGCGTTGACCAAAAGCCACAACAGCTCGGGGCGACGCAACGCATGTCTCAATTTCCTGAGAGATGTTTTCCCTCAGTGGCCGATACCCAGGCCATCGTCCTTCCGTGTTCGCATTGAGTGAGGGAGGGAGAGCAAAGCGCCCTCCTCACTATGTCGGGAGGAGGGAATGGAGGCCTGCCTTCATTGGACGCATGAAAGGGGAGACAATTAAGTTGCCGCATTGGTCCATCGATGAGTGTATTTTTTGATGGTAGCTGTGTCACGTGCTGCTATTTTTGAATGCCGACGAACAGCGAGGCATAGACATGTGAGGTGTCATGTGTTTTGTAGATGTTTTGTGGTGTACAGATTTTGTGCAGAGACTCGATCATTCGAGCGGCAAATCATTGTCCTCACATCGACCGCAACATCGTCCTCGCACGCACGATTCAATAAAATCTCTGCACGAAAAAACGTCAGCCGACCTCCAAAACAAAATCCCTACGCATCCATGCATCCCGATAGCAGCAGAGTACCTGGCTGACGTACACATACGTGTACAAATACACGCACGGGACCAAAACCCACAAGTGGGACAAGCAGTTGATGCGTATGGCGTCCAACACAGTACTGCCCATTACATGTATGCAGTCTGCATCAGTCAAGGCAGGCAGGTATGTACCTCCGGGCGTGCACTCGTGTGTACACCTCTCTCTATCTCTCTCTTTGGCTGAGGTACTTGCCCACAAACCCACATCCATCCATCCAGCCGGCAATGCGCCACATGGGGCTCACGAGACAACAATACAAAAAGACATGCGATCGCTGCCTTCATGACACAACAACCACATAAACACAGGCAGTGAGTACCCAAACACACACGCATGATCTCTCTGTAAGAGCACTCGACAGACAGGCAGGTCCGCATTAGAGAATGCTGCAGAGCGCTACCCATGAATACACACAACCCCCCAAGCAGACCGACAGGCAGGGACCCATGGCGCACGAATGCCATGGAATGTATTGCACCGCCACAAATGCCACTCACTTAGTCAGTTGTCCTCTCACGGCGGCGGGGGTGTGGAAATCAGGATCGCTCGGGTCCTTCACGGTAATTGTCTGCTCCTCTGCGCTACACATACATCACACAACACAGGTAAGGAATCCAATGTGTGTCTGTCAAGTGTTTGTCTGAACTGTCCTCTGCTTACTTGTTTCGAGGAAGGCAGCGCATCTGCGAATCGGGGTGATCATGCAGGTGTGCCGCTCATATGTGCCTCGCGCCTCGTAGCACAGCAGACCCTTGCCCC